TAGTTTACAAGTATATTATTTTTTGGAACTCTTCCTTCATTCCTCAAAACCAGAAAGTGACATTTGTCAGAGAGAGCCCTTGGGATGGCAGAGTCCCAAATCAGCTCCTCCCAGAAATAATAAGGGAAGGGAGCATGACATGGCAGAAAGACCACTGCTCTGTGTATGGGACCACCTGGCTTTAGGTGGCGGTCTCTGCTTTCTCACTGCAGACCGTTGGAAAAATCACTTCCCCTCTCTGACTTCAGTTTCTCTCTCACTAAAATGGGGAGGCTGGGTTTTCACACCAGCCTATGCCTCAGAGCCACCTCCAAGCTCTCCCCACACCGCATCTCTTAGAAGCTTTAGAGTGTGTGGGAATCGGGGGCTCATGTAATGTATAAAGGTTTCTGTGCTTTATTGCCTTGTCCTAAAACAATTGGCTCACATGAGACTTTGTCCAGTCACCAGTGACATGGAGATTCTCAAAGTGAGTTGAAGTGAGGTAAAATGCACAATCTAAGAGGCTAACAGTAGCTTCACTTTCTGCTGAGAGTCTATCCTTTCCTCTGTCTTACTCCTTAGAAACACATGATTGAAACTGAATTTTGGTTTTTAGACTTCAAATGCATCATTTCTCAATATATAATTTTTAACGATGGCCTGATATTTAGAAAATCATGGATTCTAATTCTAAATCCTAACTCCAGCCCTTTGAGTTATTTACTTGGGAAGTGATTTCGCGTCCCCAAACCCCAGTTTCCATGTGGGTACAATTGGGAGAGTTTGGACACATACCTCCGAGCGTTAAGGCAGATAATTCATACAAAGCATTTATTCCTCTGACTTGCACAACATTAAAGCTCAGGGCATGTCAGCCACTATTACACTCTTCTTCTGATACTGATAGAGTCCCACGCTGACCCCACCGTGGCCTTTTAATAAGACCGCCAGAGGCTATTTGGTGTGGGTCCCTTCCTTTTACTGGAAAGTGAATACCTTTTCATGACCCAGAAACAACCATCACACACTCCCAAGACCCGTGATTTGAGTCATGGGAAGAGACACTGAAACTACTGCATTGTTTATCTCCAAGGCCTTATGCAATGTTTTTCCCACTATTTTTAAGCTCCCCAGCCTTGCCTTTCCCCTACTTCGACTCCCTAAAGCTCTGCCCCTTGTTCAGTTCAGCTATTTCAGTTTTGGGTTGAATGGTCTAGACAGGAACCAAAAAATGCACAGTCTGCATATGGGTCCCCCTGTGGGCCCCACAATTTTTCCAAAAAGAGTATAGGAACATGGGGCTGATTGACAGAGGAACTTTAATAAACTAATCCATCTAAAGGACACATCACGGAACAAGGCACACCACAGTGCTCCATAAACTATGAAAATATAATGTAGTCTATCTGTAGACTTTAAATTCCTTGGCTTTTATTTGCTTGGCTTTTTTCTGTTCTTAAGAGAATGTCAATTTGCTTGACTTTTTTCTATTCTTAAGAGAATATCCTGGCACCATGGCCAATAGCTCGGCTACCTTGGAGCAAAATGGAAAAGACAGTTCAGTCTGATTTGAGTGGAATTCTCTAGCCCTTGACACAATTTTCTTACAAACCTCCCCAGTAGTTAGCTGTAGCTACACAGCCCACAAACACAAAATCTCAGTGGCACAGAGTGATAAGCACTTACTTAGCTCACACGGCCATGGGGCAGCTGCACTCATTCCCGCTGTGGCATCAGTGAGCTAGTCTGGGCATGCCTTTCTCATAGTCGTGGAGGATACAGAAGATTATACTTACACACCCAAGTACACAAACACATTTCAAGTCCCTGCCACATCCCGTTTGCTAAGATTCTGTTGGCAGACACAAGTCAGGGGATCATACCCAAGATCAAAGGTGAAGAAGTATATTCCTCTCAAAGAAGTGTAAGAGAGAGGTCAACTACTTCTGAAAGGGAATGCTTTAACCACCACACCACTCCGAATTCCATTAATTTGCACAGTACTCCAATATGCATTTCTGAGATTCTCAGATGTGATGCATGTTGGGTAGGTGCAGAAAGCGGGTAATGACCCTTCCCTGTTTCCGTACCAGCTGGAAGGAAGTCCCTCTCTATACTTCCTCCATGCCGCCATTTAGTATCTATTCTGCAAGCAGCTGCTTCATAATCTCTGGCCTTTGCATAGATGAACATTTTGCATCTCTTGCTAAGCTGAGAAAGTCAATCAAGGCTTCTACTTATTTTGAGTCTTGGAGAGCTCTGGAGTGCCTTTCAAGGTGTTGCTAACTTTATCTCTTCTTGGAAGATTCCCAAAGAATGCCAATTTTTCCAAAAAGAGCATAGCAACATGTGGCTAATTGACAGAGGAACTTTAATTTAATGAACTAATCCATCTAAGCAGTTTAGATGCTTGAGTCCCATTCCTGTGGTCTTGTTGCATCCTCTGCTCACTTCCATTAGGGCATTTCTCATACAGTCACTATCACAGTTGGCTCATCAGGTCATGTCATCAGTGTTTCTAGACGGATGGCCAGTATTCTTTTGAATCAGAATTGTCTGCAGTACTTGGTATAATTCAGGTTCCCAGGTCTCATCATCAAAGATCATATACAAAACATTTAACAACTAGGGGGGAATGATACCAATCAGGCAGAATGTCACCTATAGCACTAAGGGACTTCAGAACACTCAACTCTGCAAAATATTACTCTTTTATTCACTGGGGAATTGCAAGGAGTCCAGGGTTGTAACCAGAACAGTTAGTGGGGTGGGGGGAGTGGGCAAATTTCAGAGGGACTGGGACATTTGGTATTTACCAACAAATAAAGAAGTATTTTAATATTTCAACAATTAGTTCATCTGTCCTAGGATGTTCCACTTGAACCATCTCTGATTAGCATTATTAGTCAAATTTTCTGGGGGTGAGGTTCAGGAATCTGTATTTTCAGCAAGTTTCAAAGTTTGTTTAGCCCTAGGAGTAGTTGCATTTATCTTGGACAATGTTTTGTTTTTTAATTTGACAGATACCAAAAACAACACAGATATCATAATGCAGATAAACTTCTTTGCATTAACTACTAGAAACCTCATAGTAAAAAGAATGACTTGCTTGTCTTTAGCAAGTGGACTGCCTGGTGGTATTTTGCTGGGGTTATGAACCTGGTTCTGACCAAGGAGTTGTGAGTGGGCAGTATGCTACCTCTGAACTGAAGCATTTAATTGCTGATTTGAGACCCTCTAGAGCTCTCTTCCCCTCTGCGAAAGCGACACTTGAGAAGGTGGTTGTTCCATCATCCTGACTCCTGTACGAGGCTGTGAGAAGAAGAGCACCTAGCCATCCCTCAGTGGACTTACACATAGGTGAGAAACAAACTTTTGTTGGGTTAAATAACTGAGATCTCAGGGTTCTTTGTTACTGCAGCAAAACTTAACCTAATTGAACCGATAACCCAATTGAAATTTAGGGTTTGGACTCAGTGTTGGCTTTCTTCAGAGCCATTAGCCACTGCCTAATATATCATTAATTACCATCCACTGCACAGATAAGGTCAAATTTAAGAAGACACACAAAAGTGCTTTGTAATCATTAAACATTTTATAAACATTTTGGAAAAGGAAGTGATTCTGTCAAACTTAATAATATTGATCTTGCCCCCTCAACAAGGCTGTAAGGTCTTTAGAAAAAGAGATTCTGTATTTGAGTACATCAAGATCTTAGATATTTCTAGGATGTACCTACCATATTATAGGGCTCCTTACAAGTTCTTAAAGAATTTTTATAGAATTGCAATTAATGGGTGACACAGAACATCAAGAAAATAGCTTTGTGGCACACAATCTCTTTTTTTATTGGTTCTCATAATAATGGGAATTCTGTTAATCTTTAGAAGCAAAATTGCTTCCCTTTATATGGGACAAAAAATGGGAGCTTTTTAGCAGCCAATGTTTAGTTCCTGAGGAAGGTGCGAGAGGACGGATGGAGGTCAGAATGGACTGTCCCCGACCCCAGGGATGAGAGATGGAGTAAATCATGAATATGATCACTACTGAAGCTGAGAAAGAGCCTATTAATGTCATGTAATGAATTTCAAAAAAGATACAGTTGCACTTAGGGTATTTAAACCTTGGAGGTTTAAACTAAATCATACTTGTCACATGCACACAGTGTCACTAATGAGCTTATGTAAATATTTAATCTTCTCTATTTGCATTACTCAGCCCAGCCTACCTCACCAGCCCCTTCTCCCAGCCTTCTCTAACATCATCATCCAGCCTCCTGGAGCTCTGTTTTTTGCAATTCACCATGCACTTCATGCCTCTGGCTGTAATATGTCTATTTCCCTCTGTCTGAACTTCCATGTTGCGTATTTCCTTTTCTACCTACTAAACAGCTACGAGTCCTTCAAGGCTCAGTTCAAATACATCTTCCTCTTTGGAAAACTTCGCCTGAACCATTTACAACTCCCCTACCCTAGTAGAATTTTATTTTCCTCCTCTTTGCCCCCATTACCTTGCTATCATTCCATAATTCTGGGTATCCATCTATTTATTCAGCAAATACTTATGAAATCTTGCTAGTTATGGGGCCAGGTGCTGAGTGTACAAAAGTGAATAAGAAATTCTAACTATTTATAACCATGAGTTCATGGACAGCGAGTGTCTTATCCATTCTTTTTAACTTCTAATGCATTTGCAGTCCTAAATAAATAATAATTACAGAATGTGTTCTCTTTATATCTCTTTAATGGGTGACATAGAGGTTCAAGAAAATAGCTTTGTGACACAGAATCCATTTTTAGTCTGCATTCTACTTCTGCCTGTATCTATCAGGGCTATTTCAGTTGGAAGTAACAGAAATGTAATTCACACCATTTTAGCTACAAAAGAGAAAATACTGGCTCATGGATTCCAGGAAAGGTTGACCACTTAATCTGGGGAAGGTCAAGGAAGGAAACTAATTTTAGGAACAATAACAGTAGAAAAGAGCGAATGCTATTCACAATCTCTCTGTGTTTTACCTTTCTGTTTCTCTTTGCCTATTCTGTTAATTTTCACTGTCTGCATCCTGGTTTTCTTGTTATGGCAGGAAATATGGTCTTCAAGAACTTCCAGGTTTTAGGTCTTACAGCATCCACCACTGACGACAGACTGCTGATTTCTCCTGCTTACACACAAGAACGTTCAAGGGAAGAATTCCAGTTGGCTCAGGGCCAACTATTTGCCAATCCTGAAGCTACCCAGCGTTACCAGGAGATTAGAGAATGATGATTGACCAGGTTGTTTCAGATGTCCAGTCCCAATCCACCCACAAAGGCTTCAGGGGTAATGTAGAGCCATCAGTTTCTCAAAAGCAAAGGAAGATTGTAAACAGCCACAGTTTCTGTCACTGATTCTGTCATTCATTTAACATGCTTTGCAGGCATACTATGTGTTTTTTGCTTGTTTTTTTTTTTTT